CCGCATGCGGTTGATATTATATTTTTGTGGATATTAGTAGACTTGTTTTTTGTGGATATTAGGAGACATGTTTTTTGTGGATATTAGGAGACGTGTTTGGTAATCCGCATGCGGTTGATATTATATTTTTGTGGATATTAGTAGACTTGTTTTTTGTGGATATTAGGAGACATGTTTTTTGTGGATATTAGGAGACGTGTTTGGTAATCCGCATGCGGTTGATATTATATTTTTGTGGATATTAGTAGACTTGTTTTTTGTGGATATTAGGAGACATGTTTTTTGTGGATATTAGGAGACGTGTTTGGTAATCCGCATGCGGTTGATATTATATTTTTGTGGATATTAGTAGACTTGTTTTTTGTGGATATTAGGAGACATGTTTTTTGTGGATATTAGGAGACGTGTTTGGTAATCCGCATGCGGTTGATATTATATTTTTGTGGATATTAGTAGACTTGTTTTTTGTGGATATTAGGAGACATGTTTTTTGTGGATATTAGGAGACGTGTTTGGTAATCCGCATGCGGTTGATATTATATTTTTGTGGATATTAGTAGACTTGTTTTTTGTGGATATTAGGAGACATGTTTTTTGTGGATATTAGGAGACGTGTTTGGTAATCCGCATGCGGTTGATCTTATATTTTTGTGGATATTAGTAGACATGTTTTTTGTGGATATTAGGAGACATGTTTTTTGTGGATATTAGGAGACATGTTTTTTGTGGATATTAGGAGACATGTTTTTTGTGGATATTAGGAGACATGTTTTTTGTGGATATTAGGAGACATGTTTTTTGTGGATATTAGGAGACATGTTTTTTGTGGATATTAGGAGACATGTTTTTTGTGGATATTAGGAGACATGTTTTTTGTGGATATTAGGAGACGTGTTTGGTAATCCGCATGCGGTTGATCTTATATTTTTGTGGATATTAGTAGACATGTTTTTTGTGGATATTAGGAGACATGTTTATAATCTGCATGCAGTTCATATTCTATTTTTGTGGATAGTGCTGAAATTCGATTGTGATGTTTATGAAAATAAACAGATTTTTGTATTGATTTGTAATAGATATTTTATTGAACAAGTTATTGAAATGCGCAGCAAATTTTTACTTGAAAGAAAAAATTTAATTTGAAAATAGTATCCCCCATTTTAAATTTTTTTAATTTTTATTAGCGACGAAATAAAAATATCGCTATTAGTTTTCAAAAAACATGACGAATAATTTTGTCACATTTACTGAATATTTCGTCACTAAATTGAAATATTTGGTGATAAAATATTTTTTGTCATTGAAGAATTTTCTTTTCTGCTCATTTTAGTGACGAATTTTTTTGTCACCTTAATCCATATCATTGGTGAGGACAACTTTCGTCACTAAAATTTATTTGGTGACGAAATATTTCGTCGCTAAAAACAAATAAAATAAAATATTATTTAGTTTTGGTGACAAAATTGATGTTATAGAGGACGAAAAATGCAACGTTTGGAGACGAAACATTTCGTCGCCAAAAATGAAAAATAGGCGACGAAACTGTTTTTCGTCACTAGGTACTTTCAGCGACAATGTATAGGCGACAAATGTGGTGACAAATTTTTTTCGTCACAGATCACTTTAGTGACGAAAATTTTATGTTTGGAGACAAAATCAGTCTGTCACCAAAGACCTTTTTTGTTGTAGTGATATCTAAAAATTTTAGTTGTTAAAGAGATAGAGAGATAATTTTATTATTTATATTATATTCTCAAAGATGAAGCATGAGAAAATTTCAAGCAAAGTCAACAAAGGGGTTAGTATGTACCTAAAAGAATTGGAAATTCTTTTTGCGGTTTTGGGAATGGGTATGAGTGACCAACTCTTGGGCGGATGATCAGTGCTCCGTGAACAGTTGCACGGAGCCATTGGACGTGTGCATGCCACAAAAGTGTTCCTTCTTGGCCGGTGATGGTGAATCGATAAGTGTAGCTATTTCCAGGAAGTATCGGATATTGAGTTGAATATTCAGGTCCATCTGCCCAACCACTAAGTGGCTGGAAAATTCCATACCTGCATACATAAATGAGGACACTACTTTAAGCATCAATAACGATAGTTGTAATAATAATTATGGTAGTAATAGCGCAAACCCATGCACTTGCTAATAATTAGGGCTACAAACCAATAGCTCGAGCTTGGCTCATTTATTAAATGAACGAACTTGAACTCAATTTTATGCACATTTATTAATCGAGCCAAATTCGAGTAGGCCTTAGCTTAGTTCAGCTCAGCTCGATAAGGCTTGTGACTATAAAAATAATTAAATTAATATATATTTTTTTAATAATATATCAAATAAATTTTCAGTAATCTATTTTATTTTTCTATTTATGTTTGGTATATGTGTAAGTTTACATATTTGATTAATACAATTTATTTTAATATAAGTATTCTTGTATATTTTGCTCATAATTTTGTATTTTTTTTAATCTTAATAAGTAAATTAATTTAAGTTTTTTTTTTCTTCTTTTTTTTCAAGCTTGAACTTGGCTCGTCTATAAAATTGAGCGAGCTTGAGTTTATTAAATATTTGATGAGCCGAGCTCAAGGTCGATTATTTAAGCTCGACTTAAACTCGAGCTTAACTAATTCTTAATAAATAAACTTGAACACTCAAAAACTCAGTTCGGCTTGTTTCTAACCATACTAATAACAAAGATTAGAATATATAATATTACAATTAACTTTGATAAAACTGTAGCGATCTTAATTTTCTTTAGTCATTATTTATTATTATTATGGTTATTATTATCTTAATTTTATTTTTGACTTTATTAATTGTGTGGTCACATGAGAGTTAATGTGATATTTAATGGATTTAATGTTGTAATTATTAATTGGGTGGTTACATAAGGTTTAATGTGATATCTAAGGCATTTAATGTTGTAATTAATAAATTTACTGCATATTATAGTTTATTAAGCTATTATATATTGAGATTTAGGTTTATAGTATAATATTATTAGGTTATACTAGCTCTTAGGTTATTACATATATAATAACATAGAAGTATTCAACTAGGTTTAGGAGATCAAAAGGAAAAGAGAGTGACCAAGTTGTGAGAGAGAGAGAGAGAGAGGGGGAGAGAGAGAGAGAGAGAAATCAAAGAAGACAAAGAAAGGGGCGGCAGTAAGGAAAAAAGAGGAGGGGAAGAAAAGGGGAAAGGGGGGTTTTTTTTTTTTTTTGTAAATTTTTTAGTTGTAGGATATTATTAGAGAAAAACAATTTTATGTTTGAGAAGATAGTTGAATTTTTTGGTGGTTGGATGTGATATTTGTGAGAGAAAAAATAAAATGATTATGGGGTTTGTTGTGATATTTTGTTTGGATTTGTTTTTTTTTTTAGTTTTGTAACCAATTTGTCTTTTAGTGAAAAAAATCAAAAATCTTCCTTCCCAAACACCCCTAGTGACGTCATTTTTTTTTAACGAATTTTATGTAAGCATTGTGGTGACTTAGCATCTTTCAACAAAAATATATATATATATATATATATATATGTACAAAAAGTATACTGTTAATGAGTGTCTTATAAATAGAAATTGATTGACAATCTCAAAATGATTATACATATTGTTTATGGTATGCACTCTCAAAAAAAACAAAAAATGTACAACCATTTTAAGTATCTTAACAAATATCAACAAAAATCTATAACAGCTTAACTTTAAAAAATAAAAATAAAAAATCATTAAAATACTTTAAATATTAAAATTGTCATGACATATCATTTTAATAAATAATTTTATCAGAAACTTCTATAACAAGAGCACACTACTACAAAAATAGTTAAAGATCACACTTTGACAAAAAAAAAAGATCTCACTTTTATTGGAAGTGTGATAAAAAAAATTAGATTGATATTTTAATCATACTTAATTTAATTAAATATAATAATATTTATTTTTTATTTTATTTTTAAATTAAATGTAATTATATGTATATTTTTTATTCACACATTTTAATTAATGTGATTGTAGATAGTTTTGAATATAGTATTGTTTTTATATAATAATATATCCCACACTAGTGCCCTTTTCTCTTCCATTACTCTCAGCAGGCAAAACAAGAATTTGTAAGGACAAATCGTTTTGAGACTTTTTCCAAATAAAACCCTAGCACCTCATTGTATGCTCAATGTCAACATCTCTTCAGCCTCTTCCAATCTCCCTCACAGTGGACTCGCCATCCCTTCTCCCTTACAAAGGTATGGCCTCTCTCTCTCTCTCTCTCTGTTGTTTAATGGTGGGGTAAGGGTTTTCGGTAACGTGGTGGCGCTATGGTGGGGATGGAATAAAAATAGTTAAAGATCACACTTTGACAAATAAAAATATCTCACTTTTATTGAAAGTGTGATAAAAAAAATTAGATTGATATTTTAATCATACTTAATTTAATTAAATATAATAATATTTATTTTTTATTTTATTTTTAAATTAAATGTAATTATATGTATATTTTTTATTCACACATTTTAATTAATGTGATTGTAGATAGTTTTGAATATAGTATTGTTTTTATATAATAATATATCCCACACTAGTGCCCTTTTCTCTTCCATTACTCTCAGCAGGCAAAACAAGAATTTGTAAGGACAAATCGTTTTGAGACTTTTTCCAAATTGTTTTTATATAATAATATGTCCCAAACTGGTGCCTCTTTCTCTTTCATTACTCTCAGCAGGCAAAACAAGAATTTGTAAGGACAAATCGTTTTGAGACTTTTCCCAAATAAAACCCTAGCACCTCATTGTATGCTCAATGTCAACATCTCTTCAGCCTCTTCCAATCTCCCTCACAGTGGACTCGCTATCCCTTCTCCCTTAGAAAGGTATGGCCTCTCTCTCTCTCTCTCTCTCTGTGTGTGTTTTTTAATGGTGGGGTAAGGGTTTGCGGTAACGTGGTGGCGCTGTGGTAGGGATGGAATGGTGTAACGGGAGATGCGGTGTGAGAGGAGGGCTAGTGGTGCTATAGTAGGGAGGGAAAGGGCGGGCATTTCAAATTTGTGGTGGAGAAAAAGAGTAGTTTTGTGGTTATGGATAAGAGGGAAAGAGGCAATGGATCTATGGTAGTAGAGGGTTGGAGGGGCTGTGGCAATGGGCGGAAGGGGAAGTGTAACCAGGTGGGATAGGGGTTCCTAAAGGGAATGAAGAGGTTGGGGAGCTATAAGAGGGTTGGGCGAGGGAGACGTGTAAAAGCCCTTCTTGTGTTTGATAAAATACCTGTGTGAAACATTGCCCTATTGTTGGGTATTTTTCTCTTCTCTTCTTCTCTTCTCTTCTTATAATTCATAGAAATACTGTTGTGCTTTTGATTATTGGACTGAGTTGCTTATGGTCATTGAGATTTTACGGGTCAAAGTTGCCACAAGATGAAGGTAAGAAGATTTTCTCATTTTATATTATAGTTATTTCTGTTTGGGTGCCAAGAAAATGCAGAAATAATCAATCAAACTATAGAAATTTTGAGTGTTGGTGTTTCATTATATGGGTTCAGTTAAAATGAGCCTGTCTTTGGTATTTTGGGTTAGTTTAGTTTGATTTTGGGGGAAAATCAAATAAATAGCAAACAAATGAATTGTTGAAGAATGGGACACAAATCTGAGATAATTTGTATTCCATAATGTGAAAATTCTGTGTCCACTTTTGATTTACTCTTGGTTTATATTTCTTGTTTGGATGGAAAAAGGTTAATTGCACTATTATTGCATTCTTATAGTTAAAACTAATTAAACTCTTCATCTCATTTATTTTATTTTATTGTGACATGGTGGCTGATTGATCATCTCAAGTTTCTTGATAATCCATTGTACATTGGTGGTGACTCCTACTCTGGTTTGGTTGTTCCATCATTGTTCAGGAAATTTTAACTGGTACCTTGTGTTCACAAAAACTTTTTTTCTTATTATTTTTACTAACTTTATTTTTATCTCTTAAATTATCTTCCTTGTTTTTTATTTTATCCTTAAATTATTAATTTCATCTATTAAGTCTCTATTTCTAATTTCAGCTGATGTGGTCTAATTAGAGACAGTTGTCCAAATCAATAATTGTTAAATCCTAATTTGATGGGTAGAAATGTCATTTCAAAAATTGAACAACTGAAACAATATAATCAACCTATGTGTTTGGCTATAGAGTGTAAATTGTTTAATATAGCATAAGTCCAAAGATAGGAGTTTGGTTGTGTGATTTATGTTGTTAAAATTGTAAAATTATATTTTGGCCCAGTTGGTTAGGTTTCTATGATTATTGGTTTGGTTGAACTATTTTCAATTAAATTATATGAAATGAAATCAGAATTTTATAGATGAAATTAGTAGTTTATAAATAGAATAGAAAAAATGGTAAAACTTTTCTAACTTTGCGGTGACTAACTTTGTTTTTTGTAGGTAATGAACTTGGGCATCAACCAACAATGAACCTACAAGTACATGATTTAGTTTTAAAACTTTAATCAATTGTTCAGCTTATTCCAATTATTTAGTTGTGTTTTTTGTTTTTTGTTTTCTATTTTCCTTCATCATGAAACTTTTTTGGAATTTTTTTAAAACAATTCATTTTTAGGAAATAGAACATCAAAAAATTATTTTTAAATTTTTTTTCACTCAAAAATGAAAATGATGGATACTTTCAAACTTTTCATTATTTTGTCTTCAAAAAATAAAAAATGAAAACAAATAACAAAAACACAACCAAACAGATAAGAATTTTCAGTTCATAATTTTATTTATTTATTATTATTATTATTTTTTTTCATTTTTGTTTTCTTTGAATGGGAGTGATCATTAGGGATATTTGTTGGGCAATCCAGTGACAGATGTCCATGATGACCAAAATTCAGCGACCCCATATGCTCATCGTGTATCACTCATTTCAGATGAAATCTATGAGGTACAATTCCATTTTTTTTTCTTTATTTTTAATGTTTTGAGGTAAATTATATTATTAATCCCTATAGTTTAACTGAAGTTTTAATTTGAGTCCTACACTTTTAATTTTATTGTAATGTGGTCCCTCTCTTATATATCATTAGAATTTTAAACGAAAAAAATATCAGGTGCAAAATTAGAGCAACTAAAATAAAATTTAAAAGAAAATATAGGAATCACCACCGATGTAATAAATGGGTGTATGAGGTCTCTTTCTTTCTCCACTTGACACAATTTAAACGTTGAAAATCAAATTGAAATTTTATTCATTAGGCACCAAATTGACAGTTTGAACATTAAAAATCAAAATGACACAAAACTCATATTTTAGAAATCAAAAATATAATTAACCCTAAAAAAAAAAATCCTTGCTTTCATCATTGCTTTGCCAAATACCATATCCTTGGGATTGTGCTTTTACACAAAAGATGATTTTACTCTTTACCATAATTAACCTCACTTCATATCTTACAATTATAAATACAATGTGATCTTTATATGTCCTTTTGCAGTCAACTAAACAAAGTTGCTATGGTGAATATATGAATATAGATCCAAACAATGCAGCATGTCTATATTATCTTCAAATTGTCTCTGAGGTAACTATGTTTTCACTTATTTCATCTTGGGTTAATTGAACTTTCATCTGCTAAACTATCGTCATTTTTTCTGTTTCATTATTAAACAATAATTTCATCTACTTAATTTCTAAAGTCTCTAAATTCACTTCATGTGATCCAGTTGGAGATGCCAGTCCAAATCAATAACAGTCAAAGTCTAACCTAATGGGCAAAAAGATAATTTTACAATTTAAACAAATTAAATCATACCACCAAGCACTCATCAAATTGGCTGTAAGGTTTAATTTGTTCAAAATAATAAGAAAAATGAAGGTTTGGTCATATGATTTAATTTATTCAAATTCCATAATGATCTAATTACCAATCAAGTTAGGTTTTAAAAATTACTGATATATATAACAAAACAACTATCCAACACCTTTGATAGTTTTTTAATTTATTCATATGATTTAATTTATTCAAAAGGTTTGGTCACCTCTTGTTTTTTAGTTTTTCATTTGTTGAATTGTGTTTTGTTGGTATAACAAAACAACTATCCAACACCTTTGATTATAAAAAAAAAAAAAAAAAAAGTGGGAAGTCGTGTATTTATGTTGACAGATTTGATGATGCAATAGCAGCGGCTCAAAGAGCAGCATGGCTGGACTCAAGCAGCAAGGAAGTGAACATGGTGGTTAGGAGTACACGGGCGGTGGCAATGGCTCTATCCAATGGTAACGATTTGTTCAGGGGATAAAGATACTCAGAGGCTTGTGTTGCATATGGAGAGGGACTCGACCATGACCCCTACAACTCGGTGTTGTTGTGCAACAGAGCCACTTGCAGGTCCAAACTTAGTCAATTTGAGAAAGCAATGAAGGACTGGACTGCTGCCCTTAATGTGCGCCCATCTTACAGGAAAGCCAGATTAAGAAGAGTCAATTGCTATGCCAAGGTAATTAACTAACTACTAGTAGCCTATCCTATATGTCTATTTGTGCTTATATTGTTAAATTTAACCTTAAAAAAAGAAAATAAACTAACGAACAAACAAAGATTATAGGTCTATTTAGTGTTCCCATTCTTTTGTACATCACATAAAAGTTTGTTTTATTTATTAAAAAAAATGATTTTTTTAATATTTTTATACATTGAATGATAGTCAATATGTAATAAGTGAAAAGTTTTTGGTAGCAATAGAACCGTCCAAGCAGCATTTCTCACTTTGGAAATGGGGGCAAGGCTCCTGATCTAGAAAGTATGGATTCGGATACGAGGTACGGATACGACAATACAGCAAAATCTAAAAAAGTAGGATACGGGTACGGGTAGGATACGTTTGTAAAAATAAAAAATAAATAAATTATTAGCAGTGAGTTACACATACGCTCAAGAATGTTGAGAAATCACAATAACTTAATGATGCAAAATACTAATTTTTAAGAATTAGGTATTAATTTACGGCAGTAGCTAGTTTAGTTTTTAAATTTTCAATAGGTCTTGCAAATATTTCATTTCAATATCAAGTCTAATATGTTGATATTATAATATCAAAACAATCCATAACTCGACCCTATGTTTTTTCCTTTTACACTAGTCAAAAATATTCTATGCAAGTTTATTTGCTTATTTATTTATTGATATTTAATTTTACTATTGTTATATTATCTTATTAATCCTTACTTCTATGTAGTTATAGGGGACATGCATGATACAATGAAGATATGTCAATTTGATGAATTCTATTACTTTAGCTTGCTATGTTATTTTTATAAAAAAACTAAGCAAAGTATTGTTAAAATATTCTATTTATCCTCGCAATTATATTATATTATGATGTTATATAAGAAATGATACAATTCTAATTTCGTAAAAGGAGTAATATGTGACTTGGAGCATTTGATACTTCAAAATTAATTAAGAAGAATCCGATAATACGTAACTTGGAGTATCCGATACTTCAAAACTAAGTATCCGATACTTCAAAATTAATGAAAAATTAATTAAGAAGTATCCGATATTTTTAATAAGTATCTGATACGTATCCGTAAGTATCCAAGGAGTATCGGTATCCGATACAGATACAATACGGATATGTCTTCCTATTTGAAGTATCCGTGCTTCATAGAATACACCTATCTCAAAAAGTAACTCACTCTTTGAAAGATATAAGCCCATCATTGTTTGTATCAAAAAGCATAAAGAACTCTGAAGGAGCACAACGCAGCTCACCAGGACTCCTTTCCCCTCTAAGATATCCATCTCTTACGAGGTTTGATTCAGATGGAGGGAAAACAGGAACAACAGCCCGCATCAAATCGCTTGGTGTCATAAAAATTTCTCCTTCTGGGGACCGAAAAGATGCATAGTACTCAAAAACCTTCAAGGAAAACGTGATATGAGACATTCTCACAAAATATGGTGACTATTCTCGAAATTCACTCCCATGCAAGCAAAAATTTTGGTGTAACAAGAAATCCAAATAAATATACTGTTAGTAGTCTCTTGATGGAAATGTTTTGGTGTCTCATCAGTTTATTCAGTAACAAGATAAAACAAGAAATGCAAATACCTCTACATATTATTTGCTTTTTAGGCCTCTAAAAAAATTGAGTGAAAAGCTTGGGCTAAAAATCCTACTTGTTTGGCATATCCTAAAAAAATCCAAACTTTTCAAGGCTCTTTTAGCCACTTTGTTCGGTAACAGTTTGGTAACTTTGATATCTTTTGGCATTTCATTTCAAAATGACTACGTTGCCCTTCAATATTTTGTGATTTCCACTTTTCCATTTTTTATATGAATGTAACTTTCACACCTTTGGAGGGCAAAATAGTCAAGCTAGATTACATCACCATGTTGTCAGCTAAAGGAGATTAAAAAAAAAATATCCATTAGGTGGGCTTTTTGGCTAAGCCCATGCCAAAGACAAAGAAAAAAGTTTGGCTTTCTTTAGCCAAAAAATCAATCTAAAAAGCCGGTCCTGGATGAGAAATTAACAATTATGTGAAAAAGTAAAATGACTATTTGATTCCTTGAACTGGTAATCTTATTGTGTTGTATGTGATCTTGCTATGAGTACCTTTTCAGGAGGACTTCTCATCCTTATGCGTTTCTCATAGTTAAAGAAAATCTTTCTCCTTAATGCATCTGCAACAATGATGAGAAACATTTATACTCTGGCATTATAAGACTTAAAACAATTTATCTTGCATCCAAAAAGCCCTTTAACTCAGAAAAAATAAGTGAAGCTGGGACAAACAAATATAATACACTTGATGATGCCAATTCTAAATATTGAAATGTCTACATTCAGCCAGATATAGGTAGACTCTGATCTCCTGCAAACGTAACTGTAAGGTCAATGAAGGATTTGGAATCTTCAAAATATGATTTATTTTTGTGTGGTTTTAAAAAAGGGACAAGGGAAAAATGAATTCTAAAGGGAGAGGTTGTCAACAATCTTCATGTGTAGGGGATTAATGCCATATCACTACTACAAAAATAGTTAAAGATCACACTTTGACAAAAAAAAAGATCTCACTTTTATTGGAAGTGTGATAAAAAAAATTAGATTGATATTTTAATCACACTTAATTTGATTGAGTGTGATAAGGGCTCAAGTCTAACTGAATTTCAAAGGATTTGAAGTGTTAGCTGGAGTCATGAGACTAGGAATTAGTTGGAAAATACAAAAAGGGCAATCATTTGATTCTTTCATTTCACCAAAAGAAACTTAGAAAACATAAAGCATAGATGTTTAAATGCAATTAAACATTCACATCCCCTTGAGGCTTAGGTCCTTCACTAACGTATATCAATTATCAACTACAAGTTTATTTTTACCAGTTTGTTTAGCTATACTAGAAAGATTTTAGGATTGTTTAGCTAAACTAAAAAAGATTTCCTTCTCTAACACCCTTGTCACGCATAACTTCACTCCACTAAAAAGGTCATCTTGCTACACACTGAAGCAAATTCCCACTCTCAAAATGCACATTATTTCTCTAAATTCTATCTTTCTACAAATCCATCTAGGCTTTATCTTTTACTGTTTCTCTCATTGTTAATTTCTATTTGCAATCATATTCAAACCCAAAGTTATACTCATTAATTACACACAAATCCAATAAACATGTCAAGTGCAATGAACAATGTATATCAATCACACAACATTGTCAAAATTTAGACAATGTGATCATCCCCAAAATCCATACTTAAAAACAAAAGACAATGGCTTGCCTCCAAAGAGAAATTTAGGGTTTGAGGTCTGATGATCATCCACTGAGACTTCCGCAGTAGCAGCCGTTGACCAGTCAGCGAAAGCCATGAATGACTTCTCTGAAGAAGACAAGTAACCGACCAACCCAACGCTCGAACCCAGAGCAATTCCCGAAACCCATCTGAGGAAAGATCTGAAAGTGCTTGGGTTTTCATGAGAATTGGTCTCGAAGCTTGAGACAATGAAAGAAGGCGGTAGTGGTGGTGGTGAGGTAGAAAAGGGGCGGAACTGGTGAAGATGGATCAGTTGCAGACGATTGATCGACGGAGGGGATCGTTTCACGAACAGAGACATGGTGTGGATAGAGAGAGTGTCGAGGACATGAAAGTTTTGGGTGTAACCGACTTGAGCGACAGAGAGAGAGAGGAGGAAGTTTTGAGGAGTGAAATTGGTGGCTTGGCGAGGCACCTTGTTTTATAACCAGCTTTATTTTTTATGGATAAAACAGTATGGGTCGTGTCGCCTTCATACTTGAAAAGTTTCGATTTTATTAATTTTTTTAAATAAAAATAAATTTAATTTTAAATGTACTATCAAAAATAATTTTAAATATATTTTTTATACTCTCACTACATATTTTTAAGTAGTAAGACTTTAGTAAGTTTAAGAAGATACAAATTTTGTATCTATTAGGATTAATGTGAATCTTATTTCAGTTTCCAAAATTTTATTATTAATTTGTTAATATGTATAACATTATTTTAAGTGAAAACTAGTAAAAATAAGGGGTCTTCTTTTTTAGAGAAAATTGACCTAAGGTCCCTCCTCTACTTTTGATAGGAAGAGAGGTCCAAAATATTATGTTTTGATGGCTAAGGTCCTTCAAATTTATTTTAAGTTGTAAAGTACCTAAATTACCCTTCTTTTATAACATAAATTTGTTTGAATATTATATTGTTGACTTCACGGTGAGATTTTGGAAACCGAATTTGCAGTGGAGATTTTGTCGGAGATTGCAGTAGAATTGACAAGAAATTTGTTTGAATATTATATTGTTGACTTCACGGTGGAGATTTCGTTGGAGATTTCAGTGGAGTTGACGAGAAAAATTACTACGATCGTGTAGATTTCGTCGGAGATTTCAGTGGTGTTACAGTGTGTTGATCGTGTAGATTTTCAGTGGAGTTGAATCAGGTTTGTTTTCGATGGAGATTCCACATGCATTTTGATTTTTGTTTTGAATTTTTGTTTAGAGAGAGGCCAGCTTGATAGAGTTGATTTTTATTTTTGGAATTAATTTTTTATTCTTTATTTTTTTTATCAATTTCAAAAAGTATTGACAGTGTGTTGATCGCGTAGGTTTTTTAGTGGAGTTGAATCAGGTTTGTTTTCGATTTAGATTCCACATGGATGCTGATTTTTGTTTTGAATTTTTTTTTAGAGAGAGGCCAGCTTGATAGAGTTGATTTTTATTTTTGGAAATAATTTTTCATTCTTTGTTTTTTTATCAATTTCAAAGAGTGTTGACAATGTAGTTGATTTTGATGTTTAGAGTTCATTTTTCATGCTCTGTTTTTTATCAACATACTGATCAATGATAAATTTTGTTCTATGTTTTTACAAACCAGAGAAATTTCATTTTCTGCACTTTTGTTGGTATAGTTCAAAGAAAATTGTAAGTTTGTTATTATAATCCAACGAAAATCACAGAGAAAATTATAAGTGCATATGGACATATTATTAGAAGTTTCTAATGCAGATCGAATCTGAGAAAGTGAATGTAAGTTTATAAATTTCTTTGGACTTTTATTTGTAGTTGAGAGAAAATTATAAGTTTGTTACTCACTTTGAGTTTGTAGTTCAGATAAAATTATATGTTTGTAGAAGATGAATAGAAGTTTTTATTTCTCTAAGGAAAAGTTATTTTTTGTGTTTTTTCTTTCAGTTTAGATGGACAATGCAGTGTTTTTTGTTATTTTGAAGGTGTATATAAGTTTGTAAATTTCTCTGAATTTTTCTATGAGTGCAATATTGCAGAATGACGCATAGAAAATTGTTAGCTTGTAGTGCGGTGAAAATCACCTAGAAGCCTATAATTTCATAACAGATATTCTGTGTAATTTTTTTCTATGATTGTGTTTAATTGTTAGCAGTGAATTTCTCTGTGATTCTCTCTGGATTCATTAAGTTTATGTGATTTTGTTTTTTGTCATATTGAAAGTGAATATAAGTTTGTAGATGTCTTTGGACTTTTATTTTAAGTCCAGAGAAAATTATAATTTTTAGAAATTTCTCTGGACTTTTGTTTTGTTCTTGTGAAGTGTTTTTATGTTAAACAAATTTTTTTTTTTGTTTTTTCTTTCAGTTTCAATGGACAGTGCAGTGTTGTTGCTGTACAAATATGAGAATGATACTATTGTCATTAATGTTTCATGCGAATTGAATTTTGAGGAATTGGTTGGCATTTTGTGCAAAACATGGGAGAATTTGAAACCTGAGACTATGTGTATTTCATATTCTATTGTGGGCCATCCGAAATGTATGGTTAGAAATAATATTGATTTTCTGAATATATTGAGGGTTGTTTGTGCACGCGGTGTTGATATAGTTGATGTTTCAGTTACTAGATGTAGTACTTCTGATGAAGAGGATGAAGTGGGGTCTAATTAGGTAGATGTTATGGATGGTGAGTGTGATAGGCTGGTGGATATTGAAAGGAATTCACTCTCTAAGTTTTGTTCTCACCAAGAAAAGGTGTTATTGTCAAGTGGTTGACGAAATAATATTACGAGTGTCAGACAAAAGTTTGAGGGTAGTGTGGTTGAGTTCCATACTTTTTTATACAAGTATGCTATTAAGGTTGGTTTTCAGTTTACGTATGTTAAAAATGACAAGCTGAGGGTTACGGCAGAATGTGCATATAAGGAATCAAGGGGATGTATGTGGCGTGTACATGCTTCAGTTGAAAAAACAAATGGGTTCTTCTACATAAGGACTTTGAACAATGAACATACGTGTGGTGTGGCGGTTCGTACGAGTAAACATGCTAGGATGACTTCCAGCTTAGTTTCTGGGCTGATACTTGAAGAGGTAAATGCAAAACCTTTAACTCGTCCAGTGGATGTTGTCAAAGAAATGAAAGACAAGTATGAGGTCTCAATCAGTTATAACTGTGATTGGTTGAGTGTTAAAAAAGTAAAATGTAGTACATATGGGGATTCTTGTTTGTCATTTGATCAATTATGGTGGTATTTTGATAAGGCATTGAAGAACAATCCAAGTAGTCATTTTGAGTTAGATTTTGAAGATAACAAGCGTTTCAAAAGAGTGTTTGTGGCTTTTCATGCATGCATTGCTGGTTTCAAATATTGTCGGTCATTGCTTTTTCTTGATGGAACATTTTTTAAAGGACGATACAAAGGAGTTATGCTTGCTGCAACGAGGAAAGATGGGAATGAAGGTAATTGTAAATATATCTAATTTTATCTAAGTATGTGAATTTTCTATACATGTAGGAATTGAGTGAATATGATTTTTCTCTGACACTTTGAATTTTCTTTAGTTTTGGCCACTGTGTGGATTTTCTATGGTTATGGCCACTGTGAGAATTTGCACTGGATTTTGGTCAGTGTGTGAATTTTCTCTGGATGTTGCCATTGTGTGAATTGTATCTGTAGGTGGTCACTAAATGAATTTTCTCTAGATATTATGATTGTGTGAATTTTCTCTATAGTTGGCCACTAAGTCAATTTTCTCTGGATGTTGTCAATGTGTGAATTTTCTCTGGAGTTGGGCACTAAGTGAATTTTCTCTGGATGTTGGCAGTGTCAAACTTCTCTGATTGTTTATTGTTCTATTTTTCTCTGCATGTGTATATCTAATATGCTTGTTCCTATTTGTTTTGTAGGTTTTTTTCCTGTAGCTTTTGTTGTTGTTGATGCTGAGAATAAAGACAATTGGTGTTGGTTTCTTGAACATTTATGTGGAGTATTGGGATCAGAAAGGGCGATAAGTTTCATATCAAATCGACATTATGGTATTGTGGAGGGAATTGCTAGGTTTTTCCTTAACTGCTTTCATGGATTTTGTCTTGAACATCTAAAGAGAAATTTGAGGGATAAGTTGTCATGTGGAAACACAAATTTGGTTAGGGAGACGATTGTGCCCAAGTTTTCAGAATGTGCATATACTCCAACAAAGGCATCATTTCATTTCAAGTTAAATGAATTAAAAAGTGAGGGAGGAGACATTATGAGTGTTTTCTTAAGAAGTTTACCATATGAAAATTGGAGGGATGCATATTTTGTGGGAAAACGTTATGGTGAAATGTATTTAAATATTGCTGAGTCATTCAATTCATGGATACGAGAAGCTCGGCACTTGCCAATAACAAATTTGGTGGACATGATACGGTTGTAAATCATGAATATGAGGTCTGATAGGAGGCTGCTCTCTAGTAAATGGAATAAAGTTCTGTGTTCTCGTATGGATAGTGTGTTGGAGAAGTCTTTTTTGGATGAGAGGACATGGAATGTGAGTTTATCATTTGATAATGTCTTTGAAGTGCATTGTTTTCCTTCGGTTATAGTTGATCTTGGGTTGAGAACTTGTTCATGTCGAAAATGAGAAATAAATAGGTATCCATGTCAACATACTGTTGCTGTAATTTTTAGGAGTGAAAACAATTTGAATTCATTTGTTGAACCATTTTTTCATGTTGATATGTATCGTCAAGCATACTCGTTTTTTATTAGCCCAATTCCAACTGTTGAAAAACCTGTGTGTAGCATTGAAAATACTATGATTTTACCTCCATTGAGCAAGAGACCAGTTGGGAGGCCAAAGAAGAACAGAATTGCTTCTACTGGAGTGTTTAAAAGGGTGATTAAGTGTAGTCGTTGTGAAAGTATTGGTCACTATAATAAGAGGACATGCAAGGAATCTTTGTTAAATAGTTGAGGATTATACATTTTATTGATTGAATAATACAATTAATGATTACTTTGTGTATTTTGTTTTGTGAAATGTATTTTTTAGACAGTGTATATAATAATATCAATCAAATTCATCCAGAGAAATTTTCCAATATCAGTTAAAGTGTGTATTGTGTTTATTGATATATACTATAAGCAGTGGGTTTATAATACCTGTCAAATTCATCCAGAGAAATTTTCCTATGACAGAGAAAATTCTGTGTATTGTGTTTTGAATTTTCAAATTCATCTACATAAATTTGAATATGGTAGAGAAAAGTACTGTGTGGATTGTGTTTTTCGAATTTGATAATTGTTTTGTACTAACACAGTGCATTAGAGATTGAATGATCATATAGGCACCTTCTTTGGCGAGATATGAGTTAAATTTCTTTGTGAATTTATGGTAACTTCATATCAGTCATTTCAAGAAATGTGCACACCAGACAGAGCATATAAAAAATTATTGTACAACCAAGAAACAAAATTAAGCTCTTTTGA